GTACAGTGATAATAAAGTTGTCTGTTTGTACAGTGTTAATAAAGTTGTGTGTTTGTACAGTGATAATAAAGTTGTGTTTTTATACCTGGGACGTGTTGGTCGGCGAACTTGATGTTGATGATGTAGTTTCCAGGCTCAGTTGGACAGTAGGTGACTTTACATGTCCCGTCCTCCACGTCCTCACAGTTAATGTCCACTTTACTGGGACCCTCGATGGACAGACCCAGACCCCCATAACCTGAGAGCACCGAGGAGGACAGAGGGGATTAAAATAACAAATATCCGGTGTCTTCCAATCAGAGTTTTTTATCAATAACTTTCAAAGAAGTCCACCATTAAAACTGAGTCTGAGGAAGATCATACGAACAGCTAATAAACATACTCTTTCCTCAGATGTCGGATATTAACTAACTCCCTGTTTAAACAAAGGTGTTATTCATACCTGCGTTCCTGGTGTCAACGATGAACTCGGCCACCTCGAAGGTATGCCCCTCCACCAGCCCCTGACCGTAAACCTTCACCTTGCTGGCGTCTCCGATCTCCGACTGACCGACCATGATCTTAAACGGACTGTTGGTCACGTGTTTCCCGTTCTTCTTCACGCTCACCACATGTTCGCCTACTTCTTTCGGTGTGAACGAGATCCCTGCTGGCAGAAAGAACCATTGTCAGAAACTGGAGTTCATTTTGTTCTTCCTTCTATCATCTATTAAACTGATTCTTGGAGATTTTACTTCAAAATGTACTTTCCTAAAATCAGTTGCACAAATGAAAATTTCAAAAACTCACTGATTATTGCTGATATAAGTTATCTTTGTGTTTGACTAAACAACAAAAAATATGATATAAAAAAGGTACTGAGCAATTTGTCATGTTTTCTCACATTTTACCAAAGTTCTTTTGAAGAATTTACATTGCATACCAAACGTTTCTTAACAAAAAGACTAAAACGTGAACTTTGAGTGAAAACCGACCGATGTGTCTGTTGGGTAGCCTCTTCAGCAGACACGGCTCCTCGTTTCCAGACGGCGCTCTGATGCTCGCCATCAGGCTGCTCAGGTCCGTCTCTGTGATTTTCAAGGAAACATCTGTTGCTGTGCCGACGTTGAGCTGAGATGTCCTCATGGAGTCGTCACCTGGAGATCAGTCATATCAAAACAGAAAAAATATATAAAATAATACAATGTAATCACAAAACAGAAACCTATTAAAAGGTTGGGAACAGAGACTGAGATATAGTGACATTTCATTTAAGTTAGTGCAACTGATCACAAAAAGTCTAAAATGTCAAACTTTAATTTTCTCAATACTGAAAAGATATCTTTAGTTTACTTTAGGCAGAAACCTTTCATATCAAAAAATAAATTATAGTTAAACAATATTGGAAACACAGTTGGCTACATAAACAATAAATAATAATTGTCCCCGTCTTTCATATCTAAAAAGGACAGTGGACTACAAAGAAAGATAAAACGGAGTATCGTCTGCATAAAGTGAAACTGAATCCCATGACTATATACAAAGAGACAAAGGAGAAGAATTTATTAAGAAAATAAAAGTCATCACAAAATTTTACCCTGAGGAACTCCATAATATGACAGGGCTAAAGTAGTGGGGCTGTGATTGATCAGTTTGTTATCAGCACCAATCAGCTGATGTAACTGAAGCAGAGAGTCTACAAATTCCACCATAGAGGAGCTACATTTTTTTAGCTGGTTAGCTCTGGTTTGTCAAAAAATAAGGGAGTAAAAGACAAGTGAAATGTTTAGATGAAGAACTAGAGAAGCTTGTAATAAGCAGAATGACGTGCAGCTAAAGGAATTCAAAAAGGGTTCACTTCCATCTAAAATGCACACACACACAGGGTACAGTGTTTCAGTACCAGTGATCTTGGCCGTGAAGGGGCTGCCAGGGATGTGTTTGTCATCAAACTTGACGATGATGTTATAGTCTCCTGGTGCGGTGGGCAGGTACGACACAGTACAGGTCCCGTCTTTGTTGTCTTTACAGCTGATCTCAGCTTTAGACGGACCTTCAACGGCCAGAGAGAGACCACCTGCAGAGAGAGACAAACAAATAAAGCCCTGGTCCTTAATGATGGCTCTGTAAAACTAAGGGCAGGTTATAATTAAACCTGTACTACATAATCTAATTCCATCAGTACATAACACATCAAAACAACATTGTTCTGATTCACACTTACAGTCACTTCTATGCCTCTTAAAATCAACCTCCTGCAGTATCCTGTTTAAATCAATGTAAAATTAAAAACTATAACAGCTTGAGCGTCCTTTCTTTTAGCACTGCAAAGCTAAGGCTTATGTCTTTAACATCAGCTTTAGGTGACATCACTACACTACGTTACCAAGAGCAACTAAACAAAAAATGTTTACGATTACAAACAGGTCACATTTTTGTATTTTCTTAATTATGACTCAATTTCAATACATTTTTCAATGATTATAGTTTATTGATTATTTAACATTTTAGCTGAGGTTGTACAGATTTTAGGGATACAAATCATTTCAAGATATTCGAAAAAGTGACGTCACAATAAGCAAAAACACCAATGTAAGCACTGGAGGATCATTTCTATTGGCGAGTATAATTGAAGTTCTATTTCAATATAAAAGCTTTCCAACGACTCAGAGGGCATAATCCCTTCATTTCCTGCAAGGCTTTTAATGTGAAACATCTGCAGTAGTTGTTGATACCTTCTCCAGCGTCTTTAGTAACAATGGTGAAGGTGGCCGGTCTGTTCACCGTCCCATGAGTCAGACCAGGGCCATACGCCGTCACATGACCACTGTTAATGGCATCAACGTAGAACTGGAGTGGACTTCCTGTAACAGAGAAAACACAAGGGGACTATCATGAATAGCAAAGTTTGATAACGTGGATTGATAGACAATGTCCAATTCATCCTAAAGTCGAGCTGTTTGCTGATGATACTCTACTGTTTGTTTCCAAAAACTGAGACCTCTGACTGAATTAATCCTTGTTGCTCCGAACGAGCCTGAACAGCAGAAAACATGTAAACAAGTAAATATGAAGTAGATACGTGATCTGGTGTTACCTGGGATATGGTTTCCATCATACTTGATGTCCATCTCGTGCAGGCCTCGCTCTGTCGGGGAGTATTTCACTGTGACGGTGCCGTCTTTGTTGTCTGTGATGTGAGGACAGGCAGTTCGCCCGGACGGCATTCGCACTTCACCTGGAGGACAAAATATACAAACAGTTGTTGTTAACTTACCTTGGCTCCCACTGTGAGTAAACTATACCACTACTACTAAATTTTATAAGGAGTAGGGTAGCTGCAAAACTCTTGAAAAACATTGATGCTCTTATCCAGAGCCAGTGTTTGGTTTGTCATTTCCAGGCTACTGTAGAAACATGTTGGTTCAACCTGGCGGACTCTGAGACAAGACAAAAAACGACGACAAGGAAACGAAAAGTTTATCACAAAGACACAAAAAACATGATGGTTCAACATGGCAGACTCCACCAGAAGAGGACCCTGTGCCTCTGTAGATAAAAACAATTCCTATTATCAACTGATTAGACACTGATGAAAAGATTAGAGACAAACAAACTGAAATGAAGAGAGCAGCTCTGACCTGTGATCTCTCCTTTCTGCACAGTGAAGGGAATGACCAGACTGAAGGGGCGGAGCATCGGCTCCATCCCGTCCACGGGGCTGATGGGATCATCGGTGGCCTAAACCAGAGCCAGAGGGGAGGAGTGTCAGTGTCACCATACTGGGAACTCTGGGACACCGTCCAGAGAGAGGAGGAGGAGGAGGAGGCGGAGGAAGGACAGCATGCTGAGAGAGCATCAGGCTGGATGCACAAGGATTTAACAAAGCATCCTTTTTAACTGTTAAAAGTTTAAGTTGCTACATAAACAGTAATATAACATATAATATTTTACTCAGACCCTAATAAATGTAATTAAAAAACAATAAAATAAATAAATACTATGAATAAAATACAAAAACTAAGCAAAATAATAAAAGATAAAATAAAGTTAAAAAACATAAAAATAAAATAATACAAACAAAAACAATTACACTAAATTGGCTGGCTCTTGGCCAGGTCATCGTAAATGAGAATTCATCCTCAAAATAATAAAAATAAGATACAATTTAAATAAAAGTAAAATAAATGAATAAATAAATAAAATAAGGATTTTATTAAATTAAAGTGACGTGATAAAATAATATAAAAAATCAAATAAATGGATAAATAATAATAATAAAGCTGGATAAAATAAGAAATAAAAGCTGAGCAGCCTGAAGCTCTTTATTTTCTTAATAAAAACTAAAACTTGCAGCTGAAGTTGAACATGAAGTTGGCTGCTAGCTGATAACAGATGATCGTGCAGATTAAACATGCAGCATGCTGAGCCAATAGAAGATCAATAAGTGCATGTGGGTTGTTATTGACTGTAGGTCTGGGACAGCTCCAGTAAAGAGGACAGGATCCTGTGTACCCATTGAGGGGAGAAGCCCACATAGGGAGTGAAGGCCTGCTGTAACTGAAGCTTGTCACATGGTTCCTCTATTATTGGGACGGTATCACTCGCCTGACAGGGAACAAGGTACAACCTTTAGAAAAACACACCTTCATGCACAAACACACAGTCTCAGTAAGGCTGCAACCACGCCTTCAACAACATCAGTTAGAGAAGACACAACATGCTACACAACATTTGTAAAACCGCATTTTATCACAGTATTAGAATATTACAGAAGACCATTTCTGCCAATGTAACGGTTTATTAAATAAATTAATTTAACTTTTTTTGAGTTTTTCATTATTTTGAGAAAGTTTTTTATTCTATCCATTATCCATCACATTGGTGGAAACAAGCTTCCATACAGAACATTGATCCAGTTCCCTTTTGGACTTTTTCCAGTGTTAATGATTTTCAGCTGGCTTCAGGTATAATGATCCTGTAATAAAAGCTGATCATCACAGCGAACCGAACCATGGTGCCACTCACCACCACGTGGAAGGGGCTGTTGGGAATGTTTTCCCCTCCGAATCGAATGGTGATGACATATTTCCCGGGCTCCGGAGCCGTGTAGTAAATATCAAACGTCCCGTCGGCGTTCTCCACCACGTCTACATCCAGCTCCGCGCCGTCAGGGGTCGATACCTTACAGGTGACTTTACCTTTCCCAGCTGCCTTTGCATCCACGGTGATGACCGTCTCCTCTCCGATCTGAATGGTCGGGCCGATACCTGATCCTGACGAGACAGAGCAGGATGTTAATCAAGATTGATCACCTCGACTATTTTTTTCTTTTTAATTGAAAAAAAAATGCTGCTAAACTGAAGTCATAATTTGGAGAAATTTTAGAGTAATTCTGTCATTATAATAAGATACAGAATCAATAATCTGTATGCTAATGGTTGCTTCCATTGCAACCACCCAGGTTGTATAATTAGTATAAAGTATAATCAGTTCACTCACCCAGTCCGTGACCTCCGATTGACACTGTAGGAAAACAACAAGAGACTCAGTGATGCTGTGACAGTTTGATGAAATCTGATTGGTTGCCAGAGGAGAGAAGGGCGGAGTCTGACCTGTAACCAGACATTTGCTGGCGTCTCCAGTGGGGAGGGCATGGATGCGGTACGGTGAGTACGGGATCTCGTCTCCTCCGTATTTGATGGTGATGGTGTACCGTCCCGCCATGTCCGGTACGTAGGACACCGTGTAAGTCCCGTCTCTGTTGTCCCGGATGTTCGCCTTCTTGGGTTTTCCCTCTGGATCCTGGAGACACAGACAGGAAGTCAGCTGTGTTTTATTGCTGTAGGACACCACTGTGCTGTAAGTGAGGTACTGGCCATCAGTGGTCTCTACTGTAGCTGTAACGACTGATCCCATCTAACATCAATTTCTGTATCGGTGTCTTTTCACACTAAGTGTAACGTCTGCTGTGGTTACACTTTTATTTTTCTTGCATGTTTTTGTCCAATTTTTGTTTACTTACTTACTAAATTTAAGTTCCCAGCATCAATTGTGAGAAACACTTTCATTAAATTTATTGTGAAAAGCAAACGTTTCAGTTTGGTCTCAATGGTGATGATTTCCGGTGGACATAACGTGATATAAACATGCTACATGCTACAAAAGGGTTTCATTATAAATGTATCACGACTCTCTGCACGCTGCCCCGGTGCCAAACCGCCGTTCCAACGGCCGTTACTTCAAAATGCATCATCTTAGCTAGTAGCATCATTGTTGGCTAAAATCAACACCGTTTGTCACCGTTTGTCAGAATACATATGTTAGAAATGAGCAATAACATTAGCAAGCAAGCTAAAATTAGCCAGGTAGCTGCAACCCAGCCACGCTGAATAACGTTATCCGTCGCCGACTGCCCCACAACACCAGCCAACAAAGCCACCGTAGAGGGAACTTTATCATGTTTTATCTGCCACGGGGGCAACCAAGAAGGCACTTCTGAGGCTTTTTTTAACATACCAACTGGTGGAATTTGGTTCTCAAGTACAGATTTTCTTGGATTTCATCATCTCTGTTTCCATTCAAACCAAACTGTGTCATCCAGAAACTGCTGACGGATCCTGAAGGTTTGAGACCAGTGGTGTTCACAGTGCTCACATGTACTGTTCACAGTTCAACGTCACACAGGAGCTAACTACCGAATGCAGCAGAGGAGGGGTGGATGGATGGAGGCAGGTTTACGAAGCACTCCGGTTAGTGGAGGACTGAACACCACATCTGTCTGTTAGATCATTAGACAAACTGAATGGAGGTCAGTTCACAGGAAGACTACAGAGGAAGGAGTGGGGGGGTCGCTAGCTAACTGGCTAATCTAATGTACATCAATTGGCAGTTAGCTAGGTAGCTAGTGTTTTGCTAACCCTAGCCAACTTAAGATGTGACTATATATACATATGTATGAATATATATCTTTTATGTTTTAACCATCTTCAAAAATAATTACTGTAGATTAGCTAGCTAGTTAGCTAGTGTTTTTGAAGATGGTTGAAAGATAAAAATGTGGTTGTCTAGATATAGTAACATAGATTAGCCTATCTAGCATATCTACAGGAAAGGAGGAAGTTGACCGAGGTTCTGACCGAGCAGAGCAAAAAGGGGATTGGTAGTCTTACAACTGACCCTTCCTATTTCCTTCTTCATTTAGTAGCTGTTCTGGAGCTTTCAAACATATCACATCAACTTCATCTGAAAGAACTACACTTATTTGTATCATATATGTCTTTATATCCCCTGTTTTGGGTGAACAAAGGGAGGAAAGGAAGGAGGGGAGACATGAGACGAGGTGATGGGGGAGGGAGGTGAAAGAGTTGAGTTCAGGCCTTACGCAGCCTCTCTTATGAATACTGAAGGGGATGGTTTTCTTTACTATATGTGTCTCCCACACCCTCCTGCCCCAGTCCTCCACAAACACAGAGGCCTCGCGCCTGCACCCATCCGGACCCTGCAGCAACAGCAACAAGCCCCCAACGGGGAAACAGGAAGTTACATGGAGAGTTTGAATTAAGGGGTTAAAAGAGAAAGATTATGAGAAATTACATGTCTATTATGAGTCTTATTACAGCTCACATTCATCTTCACTTGTCTGTATGATTATGAACTGTTTCCTGTTGTCAACGTAAGGCTCATCGCCCGATCACACCAGAGAATGATGATTTATAGCCTCACCAGTGGACCCAGCACTCTGTACATTACTCTGTTATTTATCAGCGACTTTCTCAAGATCTCACAGCTGTCTGCTTTTTGCCGTGAGAAGTCTAACATATGCCAAGCCTTGTGAGTTTTTCACACGACAAGATTACAAATAAAATCAATGCAAACATGGGAATAAACACAAATTTGTACCAGGTGATAATAATGGGGAGAATCCGCAATATTGCTATAGTGCTATAAATTCTGGTGTGATCGTGCCTTTAGCCTGAGCTGGCTACACTGATGCTGATCAATTATCTGCACAAAAACAACACAACAAAGTACCCAGACACTGTTGTTTTTGTGTGTATCCTGGATGAAATGATCACATTAATGTTCGATACTGTGGTTTAAATCCCCTCACACTGCCTCTTTAAGTAGTATTATTTAATGTCCTGGTTACAGATTTTACTTATTTACAAAATCAGAATTCATATTCTGCCTTGAAACTTAAGTTGCTTTATCTTTTTTCTATAGTTTTCAAAATGTAAATCAGTCAAGACATTACATACATTATATAGGCCGTCCTGAGCGGGTTTCGGGGTACCCTTTTAGGTGTAACCCTGTTCTTTCTAAGTCCGGACAGGAATCTGAGACTCACCAGTATCTGAACCGTGAGCAATCCCTCTCCGGCATCTCTGGCATCGATGGTGAACTCAACCGGGAGACTGGCTGGAACTCCGGATGCATTAAGACCTGGACCGCTGGCTCGAACTTTACTGGCGTCATGAGCCGGTAACGTCTTGATCTTAAAAGGACTAAGAAGAGACAGTTTGAAAGGTGAAAGGTGAAACCTGAACCGGTAAGATCATGACTTACCGGTACATATGAATCTCTTTGGTACTGACCTGCGAGGGACCTCCTGATCAGCGTACTTCACGCACACCGTGTACGGACCGTCGTTGGCAGGAGTGTAGTTGACCGTGTGAGTGCCGTCGCTGTTGTCGGTGATGCTGATTGGCTCCGCCACACCTGAAGACCCCCCAGAGGTTCAAAAGAAAGAGTTTCAAAATAAATTCTACCAAAGTTTGGACTTTAAGATCGACCTTCACTTCTAGAAGGGACTGGTTCTGAACTAGGACTGAGTAAGTGACTGAGAACTGAGGGTGAAGACTCATCTATGGTTATGACTTGAGGGTTGGACTGACTGTCTTGGCTCTAGATGGAATTGATCATCTGACTAAAATTTATCAGTGTTTCAGATCCTTTTGGTATTCAATCATCCAGTTCCGGAGGATGGTTTTTTGGTTTGGGTTTCACCTGGATATAAGTACTTGGGCTGGGTAAGTATCAAGGCTAAGCATAAAGATTATTCATAGAAAACAATCGGTGTGGCTGTTTTGATGTTTGAAGTTTCAACACCTTCACAGATCATAATATGTGGCCTTTACAAACAAGAACCGCTGACTGACTAAATCCTCAATCCTTGGTAAATCCGACCCTGAAGGATTAGTGGATGAAACTTGCAGGTACATAAACAGGGTCTTACCCGTGGGCCCGTAGAGCTGGACCTCCAGGGGGGCCACCCCAGCCTTACTGCTGTCTACAGTGAAGGTCTGGGGGACGTGGGCTCGGACTCCACTGCCCAGGCCGGGACCTGAACACCTCACTTTACTGGGATCCACCAACTCTCGCACTGGAACCCGAAATGGACTCCCTGTAGCACATAGAGAGGTGGCCAGAAATTAGTGAATGCTGTACCTGTAACAGAATCAAATCTAAACCCTACAGGCCGGTTCAGATCAACACCTGGGATAGGAAGGCCTCCAAAGGTGATGTTGACGTCGTACTCTCCAGGAGTGAAAGGAATGTACTCCACGCTGCAGCTGCCATCTTTGTTATCCTTACATGACATCTTCGCCTCAGATGGGCCCTCGATGGCCAGGCCAAGACCTCCGGTGCCAGCACCTCTGAGGAAGAGACCGGGTAGAGGAGAAAGAAGAGGAAAGTTTGGATGGACTGAAGTAAGGGCACATTCAGATTTGTTTTTTTAAAATCAAACAAAAAATCACCTGGTCTCGACAGTGAAGCGGTTTGGTTTGTTAACCAGTCCTTCCTCCAGGCCTGGACCGTAGGCTCTGACTCGACTGGGATCGCAACCCTCCGTCACTGAAACCCTGAACGGACTCTTAGGCACCGAGACCTCATCAAACAACACTTCAATCAGATGCAAACCTGCAGACAGACACAGAAAGATCAAGTTAGTTTAACATGTAGCGTTTAGCACCCAAAGCACCAGACGTCAAGGTACGGTAGCTTGGATGTTGATGAGTGTGGATGCTGGGAAATATGACTGGTGTATCCATTGACAGTACATATAATGGCTTCTGGGTCTGTAAAGTGAAGACAATGAGGAAGTGTCTTAAACCTGCATTCTTTCTAATGGCCAGCAAGCATTGGCTGCAAGAAAATAGTACTGAATCTAGAATGAGCCGACTTCTGACTGGATTTATCAGCTCAGTAAACAGTTTCCTGATGAGTTCATGGTTTCAGTCTCTAGTTTCAGACAGACCATAAGGCAGGGTATGCTTTTATGTATTCTTTATATAATCGGGTTTTACCCAACCCTGCATATGACAAAGAGTTACTGTAAACTTGTTTCATCCTTACTCACACTAACATCATTACCCAGTGAAGCTTTACGTTCAGTCTCTGGCTCAAAGGAACTTTGATATTTGACTGATACTAACTTTCCTTCCAGCCAGTGGAGGGTTTTGAACCAGCAACCCTTTAGCTACCAACCTATAAAAGTGTGTTTTAGAGCAGCAGAAGACGACAGAATCATTCAAATCTCAGTCAGACTGAAGCCTCCACAGGGGAGAGTATTTCTGTCCCACAATGCATTACTATCAGTGGAAAACCATCTGCTGCGAGCAGACAGACTCCAGCTATTAATACCAGCCGCTCATCCCTCCCACTTCTCACTCTGCTATCCTTCCCTTAACAGTTATAGGCCTCTTTTATTTCAGCTCACACACATTTTATATCTTTATGTTTCTGTTGCAGCTCTTTACCTGAGTTACTTGAATCACTGCATTCTTAAAAAGTTCCTTTTGCCTCTAGATTATTGTAAGACAGATTTACGACTGCAGAGCTTGCCAAGTGACGATTAAAAATACTATACTATAAATACTATAAATATACTGGAGCACTATTACTATCACATTGGGGTTTCATTACTTTGACCAGTGAACCTTGGCTGACCTGAGGCGTCCTTTTTGTTTGTTTTCAAGCATTTCCATTAAATACCAAGACAGATTGGATCTGTTATAGCTCCCCTGTGACATGAACGCAGCATTAAACTCAGCTGAGTTTTATTCTGCACGTTAACACACTAGCATGTTAAGCTCGGCCTATTGCTGTCCAACTATTAGCATCATACCTATATTTAGTACATGTAATAGTAAACAAGTGTTAAGTATTAGACGTATTAAATTACGTGATGATGTCTACCATCTAGTATTTAGCATGTTAGCAAGCTAAGGTCAGTCTGTAAGTGTGCTACCAGAATGTTGTCATTGCTACGTTTATTGTTAATGTGCATGTTAGCTATAAGATGTTAACATACTGATGATTACCACATATGTAGCATGTTAGCATACTTGAGTTAACATTGAAAATATATGTAGGCCTGTTATGTAGCTGTAAATTAGCTACTAAAATTGAGCCTGTTTGTATGCTACCATTAGCATGTTAACATGCTTACATGTAGTATGTTCTAGTACCAATGGTTTATATCCTGATGACTTGTACTGTTGTATTATTTATTATGTTAAAAGGTGTTCAACTATAATACTCAAAGCATGTTAACATGTTATTGTGATTAAAATTCACTGCAGTGTTAGCTTAGTTTTTGAAGCCTGTTAGCGCCCTACTGTTAGCATGTGCCTAAATGAAGTACCTTTAATAAACATGATACTGTAATTAATAATATCACTCAATCATTTATGTAAACAAATAGCATCAGAAAACTTAAAAAACTTCCTGTCAGTCTCCTGACAGGAGACTGTCTGCTTTAATCCTGACAGGAGACTGTCAGGATTAAAGCAGGTTTTGAATAAAATGCTGAAATGTTTTTTGCTTTGAATGTTGGTGGTGGGGTCACATTGTGTTTACATTTGGAGTCTGCCTATTACAGGATCTGTCAGATTACCACATTAACATGATGAAATCATTCTGGAGCAACAAGTTTAATTGTTGCCACAAATGCCTTGCTGGCCTCTTTCCCTCTACTGTGGCACAGAGAAAACAGAAGCTTTATGAAGCCACAAGGAACATTTCAACATTGCAATGTGTTTCTGTGGAAAAACATCCATAAACCAGCAGTACGCCCTCCTCCCGCCTGCTCCCACATTCATTCTCTGCTGACCGAAGCACTTTTCAGCTCAAACATATCAGCAGTCCAGCAGATTGTGTCATCACCTCCGGCCTCGAAGGACACGTGTTAATATGTGGAATAAAAGGCCTCACCATCCTCGTAGGGTGTGTACTCCACTCTGTACGTCCCATCGCCTTTGTCCGTGATGTAGGCGTCGGTGTTGGCGCCGGATGGATTGGAGATGCAGGCCTTGATATGGCTGCCGCCACTCTTATAGTGAGCCCGGGCGTCCACTGTGAAATGGGTGGTCACTTCCCTCAGGACACCTGCAGAGAGGAAACCAAAACGTAATGAGAGAAGAAAACAACAATACTGGAAATTAAACCTCAGTACTTTCTGAAGGAGAGACGACCAGAATCTGACTTTCTTGCAGCATCAACAAAACAGAACAAACTGTAGTCAAGTTTGAAGCAGCTGAACCAAGTTAAAGGTAGCTATGAGCTAGCCACAGCTAACCTTAGCTAGAGAAACATTTACACTTGTTTTCCAACCTGTTTCCTGTCATTGAAAAACCTATTTTGATGTAAGTCAGTTTGTTAGCCTGCGTAAATGACACAGCAGTCTGTTTTCCAGCGAGCCAGTATTTCCCCACTGTGAACCTAGAAATGTTAAATACAACAGTTTTCTGTTAGGAATGTTTAGTCTGGATCTCCAGCATTGACAAACTGTCAGATGCTAACCTGCATATTTTAGAGAATTAGCATAATTAGTCTTATTAAGATTCAAGATTCAAGAGGTTTATTGTCATAATCAGCTATACAGACAATATCTCAGCAGCTGATTGGCTGATTTGGACAATATAGGAGATTTTGGGGTTATTGAGGACGCTGATTTCTGACATTTTTAAAGTGAAAATATTTCAACTCCTGGTGGGCTGATTGTGATTCATTTTGAAGTTATTTATATTCTTTATACATAAATGCAGAAGCAAAGACATAGGTCGATGAAAAAAGCTACGCAGCAAAAAAACGGCATCAAAACTGAAGAAATATGACGTTCATTACATTCAGACCAACAACATTTCTTGATTGAAAAATGCAGGTCCAATGTATGAAGCATCGATAATATTTCTGTCACAAAAAGAAGCTAAATGCAACACGTTCATCTATAATGAGCCCAAAATAGAAAAAAAAAAACATAATGAGAAAAGTGTAGCCTACAAAACTGCAAATGTGCTCCTGTGAGTTTATTAACTGTGATAATTGACTCTGGAGAAGTCCAGGAGGCCAGTAAATAAACCACTGAGGGCTGACTCACACTGAGCAGACTCCAAACCAGATCACACAGTCCCTTCATCGTAAAAATAGACCTCAGAACAGCAGTTTGGAAACCATAGTTCAACAATGTGTGGCTCTAAACCAGAGCGTTTATTCACATTAGTCACACATTTTTCTGTTCTGAAAGGAGCCAAATTTGCTCTCACTAAGTGTCCATTATGGATAATTAAGGTAAATTGAGGAAATTAGGGTGTGAAACAAATTCAACAATGGTGAAAGTCATGTACCCCTGCCTCAAATTCTACTTACTAATTAATGTACAAAATTAAACTCGATGCAGATTTTAAAGGTGTTTTCATTGGTAAATTAAAGATTAATTAATGGTATTTTAGAACTATGTAATATATCTGGTGTCAGGTATGATGGATTTATAGCCAGCTCTACCACCTTGTAACTGGGTAGAATAATATCTTTAATCTCTCACCTCTGGGTTCCACTCCTGGTCCGTAGACCTTCACCCCACTGGTGTCGACAGCCGGGTCCACCTGTAGTCGGGTGGGGAACTTTGGCACTGCGTGTCCTCCATATTTGATGGTGATGGTGTACATGCCGTGGAACTGTGGGATGTAGGTGATGGAGTAGGTCCCGTCGCTGTTGTTCTGGATGTGAACTTCGGCTTTGGCTCCGGAGTCTGAGATGATCTCGATGGTGAGCTCAGCCTCTCCAGCTTTAGAGCAGTCCACTGTGAAGGATCCGTCTTCGTTGACTTTCCCTCGCTCCAGGCCAGGACCGCTGGCCGTCACCTTGCTGGGATCAAACACCGACTGGACCACAGCCTTGAAGGGGGACCCGGGGATGTGCTGGTCTGCAAACAGGATGTTGATGGCGTACTCACCGGGCTCAGTGGGCAGGTACGACACAGAGCAGGAACCATCACCGTTGTCCTGGCATTCGATCTTAGCCTCACAGGGTCCCTCTACCGTCAGGCCCAAACCACCAGTACCAGCTCCCTTTGTGTCAATGGCAAAGGGGGCCGGTTTACCGACAACACCACCCTGAAGACCAGGGCCGTAGGCTCGAACCTGGAAGGTAAAAAGAGATGAGACACAAAGACATGTTGAAAAGGTTTGATAAAAGAAGTTAGCGTATGGTCAAAGGTTTGGAGCTAATCAGTCGCAACATAGATGGATTATTGAATAAGTACTGAACTGGTAGTTCCTATAAACCTGGGTCCAAAGAACACCAGACCAAGGGAGGGTTATTTAGAAAAGTGTATCTGGACCAAGAAAAATATACTTGGACCCATAAAAATTTACTTGGATCAGGACTGCCAACCATCTAGTGAGTTTTGCCTGTAACAGCTGCCCGAATTAAGTTCACTATCGATGCAGGAATGGGATACACAATATGATGCTTCTCGATCTTTTACATGTGGACAATTGCAAAGGATTTGCAACAAAACAAAACAGATTTTTAAAGATAAACACTGTTAATTAATTATAATTCTGAAGTGAAAGAAGCCTTAAGGAAAATGTCTTTACAGTAACTCACCTTTGAAGGGTCAGGTGGCATGACGCCCTCCACAGTGAACGGACTTCCTGGTATGGGGTTTCCGTCGTAGCTGATGTCCACTCTGTACGGCCCTTCCTCAGGGGGAATGTACTTCACCGTGTGCACCTCATTGGCTGTGCCCGACTCCAGCTTGCAGGGGATTGGTCGACGTGATGGTGAGGTGATCTTGACATCCAGTTTGCCCTGACCTCCAGCACCCTGAGTACTGACAGAGAACTCCTCATCCTTCCCAACGTCCACCTCTTTGATTCGCACACAAACACAGATACACAAGCAGTCTGTTTAGTTAATGCTTACTCATTATTTTAATACCAACACATATTTGTAGGTTATTTGTGAGAATTAAAAGCAATTTGCAACAACTTTCCTTAAATAAACAAGTCTTGGTACACAACATTACTTTAGTATTTGCAAGTCTGGGAAAAAATCTTCTGAGGAACACTTTATCCCAGACCAGAGTTTTGTGTTTTCCTTGGAGACAAGTGCAACCGTCAAAGTCCATCCACTAACAGTAGTTGTCGTTGCCACTGACAGACTCAGATTGTTATTCTCAGTATCTGACAGCATCATTGAAAGGAATCCTACAGAGATAGACCTTTAGTTTCTACTGCTGCTCCATCAGTCAATGTTATTATGTGACTTTGGTGTTTAAGTTCACATCTGAACTAACCCTTCAGTTGTTTGGAAGGATTATGTTACAGCCTGTTTCACTGCTGCTGGCTGCAACGCTTTCGCTTGTCATAAATACTGAAGTTTCCCTTTAACCTGAACTTGACTTCCTGTATGATAAAATGTTTTCTCATTTCCTCAAGTAACAACCAGCAGTGCGGATGTACTCACTGTTGTTCAAACCCTGAACTTTGACCTTGTTGAGGTCCAGCGGGGGGGCCACACTAATGTTAAATGGACTTTTGGGGATGGGGTCTCCTCCGTGACACACAGTGATGGACATGTTCCCCTGATGGAGACACAAACCTCAGTTAACATCAGTTTATTTATCAGCTCACACTTTATAAATCAAAGTGTTTTCTGACCTGCTGGATGGCGGTGTAGCGGACGGTGTACGAGTAGTCATGGTTGTCGATGATCTCGAAGTCTCTGACCGCTTCACCTTTGGCTGCTCCAGTAAAATGAACCTCAGGTTTGGCTTTACCGGCTCCCTTTGTGTAAATGGTGAAGTGAGTCGGTTTTCCAACTTCAACACCTGCAGAGAGAAATAAAAGAAGTTTAAATACAAATAATCTGGAGGTTTATTACAAAGAGAACCACTACAGTGAGTAATGAAGTAAAAAGTACACTTGTCTCTGAGATACAGTGGAGTAGTAGTATTTAGTATAAAATAGCATAACATGGAAATACTCAAATAAGTTAAGTATTTTAGTGAATTTGTACTTGTACTTGTACCAGTAACTCAACCAGTCATTATGATGCGAAATCAGCTCACCTATCTTGTTGAGTCCAGGTCCCTCTGCTCTGACTTTAGCTGCATCATGGGAAGGATCCACCTTTATTCTGAAGGGGCTGATGGGAATTTCCTTTAAAATGAAAGGTGAAGTTTAATGTCTCGTTTAAACAGGTTTAACAGAAGCAGTTCACCTGTCTCCGCTCTCACCTGGTCGGCGAACAGCACCATGATGGTGTACTGACCGGCACCTGGAGGCGTGTACTTCACCGTGAACGTGTCGTTATCGTTCTTGATGATGTCAAAGTCAATGTCGGCCTCTGCAGGACCAACAACACCTGGAGCACACTTGATCCCAATGCTGACATCGCCTACAGGTAATAACAGTACCAATATGAAAATTAGTGAAATAAAAGCAAACATCATCTGTAAAACAACATATTGACAGTAATGTAATGGAAATAACAGTTTAAAAGACATTGATAGATTTTGATGTCCCACCCTGTCCGGCCTCGCTGCAGTCCACAGTGAAGTATGTCGGCTCGTTGGCCTTCAGTCCCGTCTTCTCCACACCTGGACCGTAAACCTTCACGTTCTCTGGATGACTGCCTTCTCCTATCGTCACCTGGTCCCCAATGTACAATGTGGATAAATAGTTAAACAATTACCACCCACAGTATTAATATCATTTATTTACTGTTAATCTTACTCCTTTCCAGTGGAGTACCTCATGGTTCTTTATTTGGTCCTCTGTTATTTACATTTCTATGTTGATGATGTGCAACTATGTATATCTGTGAAATAGGATCTTATTTTCAGTTTTCAAATGACGTTAGCGTTCAGTAATGGTTTTTTTTCTTACAGATTTAGCAGTACACATCTTGGTTTTACTGATTAAAGCTGTACTGGTGTAAATGTGTGTGACTGTGTTTTCTTACCCTGAAGGGGCTATTGGGGACGTTGACTTCACCCCAGGTGATGATGATGGTGTGTTTGATGGGTTTAGTGGGAATGTAAACACAGAAATAGGTGCTGTCTCCATTATCTGTGATCTGTATGTCGATGGGGAAACCCTCTGCATCCTGGAAGCACAAACAGATTTAATTTATTTCCAATCAAAATATCATCGTTAGTATGGAATGTAACTAAAAACATTTACTTCAGTACAAATTTAAGATATTTGTACTTGAGTATTTCCATTTTATGCTACTTAAGAAAGATTTTAATGTAGGACTTTTAATTTTTGTGGAGTATTTTCAAAGCATGGTATAACTACTTTTACTTAAGTAAAAATCTGAATATTTCTTCAACCACTGATCATCACACAAAAAAATATTATTTAATGAGTTCTCACCTGAGCGTAGAGCCTCAGCTCTCCTCTGCCAGCTCCATGAGTATCAATGGTAAAATCAGCAGGTTTGTTGACGATGCAGCCCAGCGGCTCCAGACCTGGACCGTAACATTTCACCTGAGGACGGGAGGATATATATTCAACACATCATGTTTAATAGTAACTTAACTGTGAAGTGGGTTTAAAATCAAGGAGGTTCTGGTCTAACGTTTTCTGAGAAGACGTCATTGGCAGCAGGCAGGATGTGGGCCATGAAAGGACTGTCCTTGATGTCCTCGTCATCACATATGACGTGCACAGCATAGTCACCCGGTTCAGTCGGCCAGTACCGAACATCGCATGACCCATCACCTTTATCATCGCACTCGATCTTTGCCTGAGAAGGACCCTCGATGGAGAAACCTGCAGACAGTGACACAAACTACATAATATACCACTCTTTTTGACCATAATTAGCATTTGTAAGCAGATCTCTCTCTCTCTTTCTTATTTGTATGTGCAGTTCTACATATATTTACAAAGACTGTAGCCAGTGGAGTACCTCAAGGTTCTATATTGGGACCTTTATAATTCTGTATCTGCATGTCACTACTTGGCCAAAGAAACCACAATAATCTGTTATTTACATTTCTATGAAGATGATGTGCAGCTATATATATCTGTGAGATAGTATTCTGTAAGCAAAACAAAGAAATATTTATATTTAGAAATACTTCTACCTAGCTGTTTATTTGGTTATTTGCTCACTTTCGGCTCACCACCTGCCCTCTTTTGGTTTAGGTGTATGTGCATATTCATGCATACTGCATCTTTAAGCCCAGCCCCCAACCAGCTGTCAGTCTTTCTGAGCAGCAGGTGAGAGTTCTGATTTATCCTTTGTGACATACCGAGTGTTCCCACCTCCGTGCCGATGGCCTCCACCACAAAGTCAGCGCTCTTCCCCACCATACCGGTCTCCAGACCTGGACCCCAGGCCCTCACCTTCTGAGGCCCCGCCTCCTCACTCACCTGAACCTCGAATGGACTGAAAACACACATACACACATTATTATAAACTGCAGAAAGATTGAAATTAATTAATTATATATTTACCTAATAAAGAATTAATCAGCAGATTAATTGAATGTGAAAATAATCATCAAATAATAATCAAACTTGAACAAACAACTTAAATATGAATTATTAGATTAAATTACCATGCACTGTATCTTAAAATATTCTGAACTGAATAAAAGTAAGGTTTATATATAGAGAGAGTTGTATGTGAGCAATACACTTTTAATGGGTCATCATAATCATAAAAAAACACTCTTATCTTTCTGCCTAACATATTACTGTGGTCTGTGTAAACCACTCAAGTACCTCAAAGTAACTTAATCGGTGTGATAACTAATGATGGAGAAGATCAGCTGAATATCTCACCTGCGTGGGATACTGTGTCCTCCCCAGGTGATGGTTATGATGTATTTTCCTGTCATGATGGGGTAATAATTACACTCATACATCCCGTTTTCCATCTCAAGAACCTTCACCGGCTCCTCCAGGCCCTCTGGATTCAAAATAAAGATCACACACAATCAGTACTGCTCATCGTGTACAGTGAAGGTGCATCACAAACCAAAAGACAGGTTTAAAAAGGAGAAATTATTATATGTATTTTCGAGTCTTGGCATCTTACTTGGTCCCTTTACGGTGACTTTGAGCTCCCCACTGCCGGCTCCTTTAGTGTAAACTTTAAAATCTGCCACTTCTTTCACTCTCAGGCCCTTCGGCTGCAGACCTCTGCCTGACGCCCTGCAGGCGTTCGGGTTACAGGCTGTGAGGAACAATCAGAAGATGTGGGTTAGATGGCGGGATGATGTTAAAATGATGAAACAAAACATTCACACAAACATCCACTCATGTTTTTCTAATTCCTAAGTACATCAAACCCTGAATAAAGACATCTGTCCAGTCCACACTGAATCTGACTTCTGTTTTGAGTTCAAACAAGCCTCAGTAAACTGTTTCCTAATGAGTTTAGGTCTCAATCTAGTCTAGTCTTCTTTCATACAGCATGATGTTTATGTAGTAAATGATGATCCCACTTAGAGTAAAATAGACAATAAACCAGGGAATGCTTTAGGGCAGGGCTACCTTGTGACTGACAAACCTAAACTGTGAACTTTTCTCTCATTTTTACTCTCTAAATCTAAGATTTAATTCTAACTCCTAACCCTTAATGTAAAAGAGAGGATTTACCAAAATAACAATACATCACAAAATCTCTAAAATTAAACATAGTTAAACCAAACAGACAGGCAGACGGCTGCAGGTTTGTCTCTGTTAGTCAGCAGATCAGTGCTGAGAGAAGCAGTTTGCGGAGGCTGAAAGGAAAAAGCAGCAAAGATGAAGACAAGATGAAGGAAACAGGATTATCTGTCTGGAGGACGAAGAGCTCAGAGCTGCAAGTTTGTGACTTCAGCAAGAGAAAAAGAATGAAATATAAATAAAATGTTCACAACTTTGGTTTTGAGAGAAAACACTTAAAAAAGTCACTGTAGTTCTCAGCTTTAGAAACATATAGAACATCAAAACAGACAAACAAAAAAGAAAGAGGAAAGGTGAAGCAGATGATAATGAGGAGGATGAAGGAGGCCATTATACATAAAAAAACACATCTAAATGGTAACATTCACTCTCATTAAGTGTATGGGAGGGTCAATGTATGTGCCGTTAAAATTGTTTGTTTTCACTGTTTTTCTAAATTTGATCAACATTGTTACTGTCATTAGTAGTTACTTTATTTAAAAAAACAATTTGTCATTTATGGATCAAAAACAAAAAACTAATACCATCTTATTTTTTCTGCTCAAGTCCAAAATAGGAAATGAAATAACGGCCACGGATCGATTTTGATTTTGATATTTAATTTGTCCGATTTGTGTGACCAGAAAGTTTGGCTACTCACTTCTTTGTGTACTGCACTTGATAGCCTCTTCTTGGACAATAAAAACACGGTTATGGGATGGGATGTTTTATGAATATCTGTCCCGGGACGCCTGATTTAACTTGTCTGTCTGTCTGAGGATGACGAAAAAATCATAGCTGTTCCTGAGGTGATCATAAATCCTGACAGCAACCACAGAGGACTCAACACATCCACATTCACTCTGTTTCTGGGCTGTAGAAGAACATAAAGCTGGTCAGAATGAAGCAGACGCTGCACATGCTGTAAAGCTGGGAAACCCCCTCCAGAGAGGTCAGAGTTTGAGTTGAGGTGGAAGGAAACCAGGCTAGCGCAGGCAGGCTCCAGTCACACCCCCGCCCCCAGCCTATACTAACTTGGTCGCCTGGGTTTGGGCGGTGTCGGAGGGGGGCCTCTCCTTGTCTTGTCTGAGGGTGGGGTGCGTATGGACTGAGGTCCAATCTGCACAGGAGACCCGGGTGGCGGGACGCTCTGTGGAACTGAAGGAGGGAACAACAGTGATGATACATTTGTACACAGGCAGAGACCTCAACACCAGCAGATACCCAGACCAGCAGACGGCCAGGCTGCCAGAACAGGAGGCAGAGGTAGGACCAAGTTGGGTTCTGCAAGTCAAAAGTGAGTCTTAAGCTGCTAACACTTTGGTCAAGTCTAGACTAACAGGTCAAGTCAAAGCAGGTAAGTCCCCAGTCAAGACAGGAAGTCTAAAGTCATAACAATGAAGTCAAGACAGGCAAGACCTGAATAAAGATTGTACATTTCATGTTATGTCTAAAGTAAACATTGGAAATCCCCATGTTGTTGTATTTTATTGTATTTAAATGTACCTGGCTGCTATTACAACCCAATTTCCCTTTGGGGATTAATAAAGTCTAT